CTATCAAATGTGTCTTTATATAGCCCTGTCTTGGTATTTTCAATGGCCGTTAACTTGGCCTGGTACAGTATGGGGGCTATAAATTGATATGGAACTTTAAAAACAAGTTCTTGTTGGTTCACAGCACAAATTAGTTATATATAGGGATGGTAGTTTGTTTTCATTTTTTATCAGTTCTCTCTGATGCAGGTTATATGAAAATAATTGCTCTGTTAACTGAATGCCCATTCTAATTTTCAAAAAATGCAAATTGCAGCTGTTTTATTGACATTCTGAGTACTTCTAAGTAAATACAATTTTTTAAATTAGTGTTGTTCTTTTCATAGGTCTGAAATTTTTCTTCTCAAGGGGAAGATACACTTTTGCTTTTGCCCATTTTGGGTCACATGAATTAATGCAGTATTTATCTTTGCATGTATTTAGCTGATAAAATGCTTTTGCCTACACACCCTACATATTGTGATGGGTATATAATAAAAGTTTGAGAACATTTTGACCTATAATTGAAACTCCATATTGATTTATTGGATAAGAGATTTCACATAACCAACTTATATTTGCAAAGCTAGGGTAACCAGTTCTTTTCACAGCATGGGATTACTAGAATCAAACAGTTTGAAAGTCTGTCCTTGAGGGACTAACAGAAGTATGGTCTAATCTTTACATGAGGACTGTCTTCTTTACTGTTACCATGTAACAGCAGCTGTGTCCTGCAGTTCGCCTATTAAAGTCCTGAGAATGTATCTTCCAAAGATTGAATCTAAAGTACAAGACTACCACATTAAGCTTTTTGTTGACATTAGTCCCAGAGAAGGCTCTAAAAATGCTGGCTATAATGCCTTTCCCACTTATCTAGATATGGATTGCTCAGGAAACTTGAGTCTCTGTTAAATATTTTTAATTAGTTGGGCCAGCTTTTATTGAAATTATGCCATGTTTAAAATTAAAAGTAAATTTTCCTATATTGTGACTTATCCCTTTATGAATCAGACATACGGTAAGAAACTTTGCATCATAGTACAAGTTGCTGGATTTATGTGATTTGTCTCTGTAAAACCCAAACTCATTATTATAGTCATGTTTATTTGCTTCGCAGTTTAGGGAACAGTTTGGCAGTTTTGTGGTTTTTGAGATTATTGTTCTTATAAAATGCTAGTGTTTTAAAATAGCATTTTGTTAATTTTACATGCTTTGTGGTTGAGTACTATTTTGTTAGATAATTTTGACTTGGATTCTTTACATTTGCATTTGTAATTTGAGGAGGAATACTGAACATCTAAGTCCTGAATGCTACTAATAAACTATTAATTGCAGAGGTTTTAAAATAATCTGAATTTTAAACATATTCTTGGGGTAGAGTATGTAGCTCAGTGGTAAGCACTTGGCACTAACTCTGGGTTTGATTTGAAGCACTGAAAAAAACAAAACAAAACAGCAGCAAACATCCAGATTCTTGGTCTAGGTCCATCAGCTTATTCAACATGAGTCTATCTTGTCCCTAGTTGCTTTTCCACAAATACTAACTTCATAGTGAAGCCTCATGAGTTTTCCCAAGTTAACTGAGCTTAAACATTTTTACTTTTTAAACAAAGACATCATGAAGAAGATGTCTTTCATAATGTTATCTGGATTCAATCTATTGACCATTTCTTTCAAGTTATTGCCTTTCATATGATTTCCATTATCTTCTGGTTTTGATGAACCTATTGGTGCTGAGTGTAAGAGGTCTTCCATATCTAAGTGGGGGTTTTTAAATTAAAACCACTAAGAACAATGAAGCAAATAACTATAAGTAATCCTGACATAAACATGGGCTTTAGTCATGGTCTGCCATTTTTTACCATGAAACACATTTTCTCATGGGTTAAGATCTATGCCATGACAAGGTAGGCAGGTTTTGCCTTGAACATCTTCAGGAATTACCTTGAATTTTTCTAAATACACCATTATTCTGTAGACCAGCAAGGTTAACTTCAAGCATAGGACCATGGGATGCAAGTACCTTGAATCCTTGTGACCAATGTCCCCCTGTGCCCTGTGCCCTGAAAGCTCCAATAGCTCTTAAACAAAATATAGCATGTGCTTTCACATCATACCATTTTTTTTTGAGATAGTAGATTGGTTATGACTTTCTTGGCTCTTGTGTGCAGGTGCACATGTGTATATATGCATGTGGAGGCCAGAGGTCAATCTCGGATGATATTCCTCAGGCCCACCTACCATGTTCTTTGAGACGGGGCTTCTCACTGGCACCTGAGCTCATCAATTAGGCTAGGCTGGCTGCCAGTGAGCCCCAGGGATCTGTCTGTGTGCATCTCCCAGTGCCTCCCATGACACGCTTTTTATATGGGTTCTGGGGATCAAATTCAGGACTTCATGCTTGCATAGCAAGTACTTTATATACTGGGCTGTCTCCCCAGCCCGTTTTCTCTGTTTTTGTCACCACTGTTTTTTTTCTATGCAGTCTGGGTCTGAGCCTAGGGCCTTTCATGTGCTAGGCAAGTCCTGTACCACTGATACATATCACCAGCCTTCTTTTGCCACCTTTTTATAAGGCACTTATTCTTTCTATCTATCCATCATATTGCGGTTCTAAGAGTGAGAATGCTAATTGTGATTTTAAAGATGTACTCCCTCACAAATTTTAAGCAAATGAAATTTGTTATAGGACTTAAGCAAGATACTGAGTTTTAGAATCAGAATTAAGTATTCATCTACTTGCTTTTTTAGGAGTTATTATGAAGCCAATGATAGTACTTCAGCTATAAACATAATTGAAGAAGCTTTCTCAAAGCACCAAGGCCTGGTCTCCATGGAAGATGTTAACATAGCAGCTGAATTATATATTTCCAACAAGCAGTATGACAAAGCTTTGGAGGTAGGAATGCTTATGTGCTTTCCCTTAGATTTAAAACATATTTTTGTGTTCCAGAAATTATTAGAAATTAGTAATTATATATTAAATTACATATTTTAAGTCTGGAAATAATAGATTTCTAGATTTTGTAGTAATTCCCTATGAAATATAAAATGTAATCATATAATAAATAACATTGCCATTATCATGGATAGCAAATGAGTCTACACCTCATGATAGCAGGACTCAACAAGTGGTACTGATTTAGTTCTTATTCTGTGGGAGAATGATTGGTTTGCTATTAAATGGTGCATCTGTAGTCTTAGTTAACATGATATAATAATGTATCACAGTTAGGATTCCTTTTGAAGACTTGTTTTTTAAATACCATTTTTATATTGTAAGGACTGTTTGAGTAACTGTACACAAAAAAGATTTTTTCATATATAACTTTTTTTTATTGTTTGTGTTCTCTTAGGTAATTACAGATTTTTCTGGAATTATCCTAGAAAAGGAGACTTTGGAAGAAGGCACCTCAGAAGAGAATAAAGGTTGTAGTTAACTTTGCACAGGAAAGCACACATAATTCTCTTTGCTCATAGTGTGGTATCTTGAATTGATAATGTTCTCAGAGCAAGTATACTACATTTCCTTAGAAAGATTTCAGTCTTTTTCTTAAATTAGTTTATAAGTAATCTTTTTTCTCCGTCTGCTAGGGATTAAATCACTAGTGCCTTGTGAATGAGGTGGGAAGCACTCTTACCAGTGAGCTATATTTCTAGGCTTTAGTTTTTAAGAAATGTTTTAGAAAGTTTTTGGCTCTTTTTTAAATTAATATGTTCATTTGAATTTTCCATTTCTCTTTGATCCTTGATCCTTTTCACTTATTTTTGTTTATTTGTATTTTGTCTCTTTTGGGGACAGGATCTCATTCTGTAGCTCAGGCTAACCTGGAACTCAGTGTGTAGCCCAGGTTGGCCTCAGATTTGTAGCAGTCCTTCTATCTCAGCCTCCCCCAAGTGTTGGGATTACAGGTGTATGTCACCACTCTTCATTTATTCTTAGAGGGAAAAAAAAAGAGTAAATTGCTGTATAACTCAAAACTTTACATCTGTAGCAGTTAACTTTTTAATAAAGGGCTTTAAGATGATCTATTAAAAATTTACAAACTTAAGTATCTACATAAAAAGTAGAAATTGGTATGACTATCCTATACTGTTTCAAAGCTCAGAATACATAATTGCAGATCTGATTAGGAAGTCATACCTGGAGTTTGGTTTGGGTCTCTTCCACCTCTTTTACCCAGCTCTTTGGACCACACCCATTAACCTAGTCTGTGAAAATACTAACAGGTATGACCTTATCTGAGTTGGAACAAAATTGGTCTTCTTTATGGGCATAGTAGATATCCTTGCACCTGTAAGAGAATTCCCATGTAGTGCTTTCAATCCCTGTTCGGTGAGGATTTTGAGAGTCAAGGGAAGTGAGTTGAAACTGAGTCCTGTTTCCTTCAAAATAACTCCCTCCCTCACCTGTTATGATGCCTGATTCCATCATGTTGGAGTCCTTTGGATTAAACCATAATTATTCAAAAACAAAAACTTACTTAAAATGTGATCCATCTTAATGTAAAGAAGTAAATCAAATTTAGATTTGTGCTAACTCATAAAAGGAAGACCCAAGATGGGATATGGATGAGATAAATGTTGAAGTTGAAAGTTGTTGGGAAAGGAAACCTAATTCAGTAAAAGTTCTTTTTAAAAGATTGTGTTCTTGTATGGGAAATAATGCCTGTGAGTGTGACATTTTGTTCTCAAGGAAGTAGGAGGGGGAAGATGAATTCAAATAAAATTTAAATTTAATGTAAGAAGCAATTGTGGGATAATTTCAGTAGTAGCTGCTATTCTGGGAAAATAGAGGAGGGCAGTATACTGAGGGTCACAGGGTGTTTATAGGGGTCCAGTTTAAGCAGACACACAGAGAAGAATGTTCCAACTGGATCATCAGGTGTCTGAGTTCTGTGTGTTCTGGCCAAGAACTAGGCAGCTTACTTTGTTGGTGCCTGAGTGACATGAAAGAATGCAGTCAGATGTAGGAACTATAGTATAGGTTTGGGCTGCTGAAGAGTTCTTTGCCAGTTTCAGTACATTCCTTGGACCTGGCCTCTGTTAGAACTAGACCTAAATAACTTACTTTACAGCCAAAATTCCTTTTTCGTTTTTGGTCCAGGTTCTTGCTATGTAGATCATACTATATCAAAATACTTTAGACTAGATGATCTATAACCAGAAACTTATAGAGGCTTGGAAGTCCAAGATCAAGGCACCAAGGATTTCATGTTGGTGAGGGCTGTTCCTCATGTCATACCATCTTGCTCTGTTCTCATGGCAGAAGGGTCAAACAGTGCTGCTTCAGGCCTCTTCATAAGAACACAAATCCTATTCATGAGGGTAGAGTTCTTGTGACCTAACCACCTTCTAAAGACCTTATCTCTCAATACCATCATATACTATACCATATTTTGGGGGTTAGATTTCAGCATATGAAATTTAGGGAAACACAACATTCAGACCATGTTAAACAATAGACCAAAATGATAGCATTTGGAATATAGAACCCATATCTAAGTAGAATCTAATTTTGGTAAAGTCACAAGCCTCATTAAAATGACTGTATTGTTTAGTCCTTCTTCAAATGCAGAAGGAATGTGCTGTAGATACTGCTTTGAGTCATGTAGATTTGGTCCTTGTCCTTCTGGAGCATATGACTAGAGTGAGTAAAATTCCATGATAGAAAAATTGAGCAGGAGACTTGCCCAAATATTTCTATGGCTTGGTAAATTTGGCAGTACTAGCATTAATGACAAGTTCTGTAAAACAGATGAGATTATTTTTTAAAGTAATTTAAAATTTGATTCTACCACCAAAGGGGCATCACTAATATCCTATACAATTTTCTAAAATGGAAACAAACTTATTTGGAATATACAATGCAAAATATATATAAAAAAAAAAGTGGATTAGAATTCTTTTAATTTCCCAGGGTTTTAAAAATGGTTTTGCTATAATGAAGTTTTAGAAAACGAAACAGTATTACTTAATATCTTTTCTTAGCCTCTTTAGTAAATTTTAAAATGAAACTTCTGAATTCAAGAATTTAAAGAGGAAGAATAGGGGCTCTGGGGATGGAGAAATGGCTCAGTGGTTGGAATTCCAGCACCCACATGGTGGCTAACAACTTCCTGTAACTCCAGTTCTAGGGGATCTGATGCCCTCTTCTGACCTCCAAGGGCATTACATGACATGGGTGCACTTGTATGCAGGCAATACATTCATACACCTAATAGAAATAAATAAATGAAAAATTTTTTAAAGTGCTGGGTATGATGGCACACACCTTTAATTCTAGCATTCAGAGGCAGAGGCAGGTGGATCTTGGTAAGTTCAAGGCCAGCTCGGTCTACATATTGAGTTCTAGGCCAGCTGTGGCTATGGGGAGACCCTGTATCAAAGAAAAAAAAAAAATTTAAAGAGAGAGATTTCTAATATCCTGTTCATTTTATCTTTTTAACTTTGTATATTTTTGGTAAAAGGTATGGGAATTTATGTTTTGAATAAGTAGGTATTAGAAAAAGAATAGGCAGAATAAGTACAAAGGACAGGCTGAAGGAGGCGTAAGAAGCTAGTGATCAAGCAGACCAGAATTAGCATTGTGGGATCTTTGCTTTAAGCCATTTGAAATAAATCTCATGTGTGGCTAGAGTTTACTTAATTTCCTTCATACCCTGAGCTTACTCATGGAAATGCTTCATGTCTATTTGATGGTTCCCCAGCTGGTGAAACTGTTACCTGCTCCATACCTGATAGTGTGCCAATAGATATTACAGTGAAGTTAATGGTCTGCCTGGTACATCTCAACATCCTTGAACCACTTAATGTAAGTAACATTTAGAGCTGTACTTACTGTAAGTAATGTTAAGATACTTTGGATTAAATCCATTCTGTCTTCTGCAGATGACTAGAAATGGTAACTTGACCCTAGATTTTCACATTTCTTAACAACCAGGAGATATAGTAAGTGCAAAATCACTTTTGTAAGAATGGCTTATAAAAGCAGTGTGTTTTTTATTTTTATGTGTATATGTGTGTATTGCCTGCATGTATGTAAGTGCACCTGTGTTGTACAGTGCCCGTGGAGGACAGAAGAAGCCCTTAGATCCCCTGGAACTGGAGTTACAGTTACTAGCTGACATGTGGGTGCTGGGATTTGAACCCAGATCTTCTACAAGAAAAGCTAGTGTTCTTAACCACTGAGACATCTCTCTAACCCCCAAAGCAAAGTGTTTTAGAATTGTAATTGTAATGAGTTTTTTTTAGAATGAGAACAATTTAAAGATCGGAGATTGGTTGGGCCTTTAGGCAGTTGATAATAATTCTCATAGCTACTCTTTTTGTTTTTTTTATAAACTTCGGGCCAAAGTATTTCACTGAATAAAAAAAGGACATGAGCCATATACTTTGTTGACCTTGGGTTAATGTATTGAATAAAATACATTCCTCTCTTCATGAATCTTTTGTTGAATAAGATTTAAAAAATACATTCATAAAATATATAAGGTACTAATTGGTGATAAGTGTTCTGAAGAAAAAAGCAAGGAAGAAATATAGGTGGGGGAAAGTTGCAAGTTTTTAATAGGGGAGTCAGACTTCCCTGGAAAGGTGATAGTTAATAAGAATAGGGTGGGTAAACTCTGGGATATCTGAGGGAACAGCTTTCCAAAACATCAGCAAATGGTGGACTTGAGGCTTGTTAGAGAAAGCACAACTGAGGGAATGGGCGTAGGTCCAGCAAGCCACACAGTGATGCTGAATGAGTGATAGACGTTGAATCCTTTTAACTGAAGTACAGAAATGAGCAGAAACTGGATCATTTAAGCTGTTTCTGTTAATCCTTGCTTCTTTTTTGGCTTATGCTGCATAGCTGATAAAGCCCGTGCTTGTTTGTCATGAATGTTTGACTTCAGGTTTTTATTTGGGGTCTAGCCTCTCTTGACAACACTGGTGGAACAGAATCCTGAAGATATGGGAGATCTCTATCTAGATGTTGCTGAAGCGTTCCTGGATGTTGGTGAATATAATTCTGCACTTCCCCTCCTCAGTGCACTGGTTTGCTCGGAAAGATACAACCTTGCAGTAGTTTGGCTTCGGCATGCAGGTAATACTTTTATTGCAGGAGGAAAAAAGTTTTAATCATACAAGCAGGCAAGAATTTATTTGTCCTACATGTTAGTGGTTATAAAATATAAAATATTGGAATCTTGGCACCAGTATTTCTATTTTCAGTATACTTTTTTTTTAAGGGATGATTTTAATGTAGTTACAAAGCAAATTTGAAACATAATACAAAATTCAGGATACAAACAGGTAGATCATATGATAAAGCAATTTATAAGGAAGTGAATAAATTGCTTTGGGAAGACTAAATTTACAAAGCATTTCATATAGAACATCTCAAACAATCTTGATCATCTTTATACCCCTGTCCCCACTGGCACCCTCCCATTACCCCCCCCCCTACTGGAGCCCATATACTCTGTCATCCCTGTTAAGGCCCACTGTGTTGTCAGTGTCCCTAGCTGTTCCCCAGTGCAAGTCCGTCACTGAGTCTAGTCAGCCTATCTAGAGTCCCTTGTTTTAGGAAGACCAATTCTTTATCTACTAGCAATCAGTTGCCAGCAGTCCTTCAGATAAGATTGTGGTCTGCTGTTAATTTTCCCAGTTCTATGCTGGGTTATTGTCTGCCTGAGTTTGCATGGGACTTGTGTATACTGACACCATTGCCATAGAATCATATGAGCAGGTTCCCAGGAGTTTGTAGGACTGTTTCCATATGGTCATGCTCCTTCTCCTTGGCTCTTACATTCTTTCCGCAGCCCCCCCCCCACTTCCATGATGGTCCCTGAACCTTGGGTGGGTGAAGTTTAATAAAGGGGTCCTGTCCAAAGACCATTATTCAGCAGACTCTTAATCTCTACCTTTGGCCATTTGTGACCTTTTGTGTTCATAGCCTTCTGCTACATGAGGGAGCTTCATTATTGAGAACTGAGAGATTCATTAATGTCTTCTTCTTTATCCCTGTTCTATGTTCCGTGAGCCTTAGGTGTAGAGGTTGCATTGTAGATGTGTTCCTTAGGCCTGGGAAATTCATAGACAATGTCCGTGTATGACCAGTTGTGGTACTTGGTAATAGTCTCTGACTGGTGCAAATTGAGCTTCTTTGATGAGTGGTGACTGGGATATTTGTCTGTAAATATAAGGATACATATTTTGCACATCGTAAGAAATCACATTAGTCTGGTGATGTGCTGACAGTCTTGGGGTTATTTCTAAGATCTATGACCTCTCCAGCCATGTGTATTAGGTTATGTTTACATTACTACACCTGAGTTCTTCCCTTTGAGTGGGCTTTTGGTCAAATTAGGTAGCTGTTGATTGCCCGCAAGATAAAGGTGCCACTACTACACAAATGATATATGCTGTGCTGGCCATTGATGTGGTTATTTGGTCTTGAAGCTGGTGTTGGATCAGCCATTGGTGTTTTCCCATGGCACCTTCATAGCCCTCTCCAAAGCTATGCCTTCAGGGAAAGTGGTTTCAGGTTAATTGCAGCTTTACTGTTCCAAATCCTGTGTCCAAAATATGTTCTGTCTTCAGCTATAGAGTCTTACCTTCAAGTTCTGGGAGGCCATCAAGAGCTGTAGCAATAGCTTGAGTAATTCTAGGAGTCTCTTGGACCACCCTGGCCAACAACTCAAAGGACAGTATCTCCTGTCTGGAACTATTTCTTGTTATGTAGCCTTTAGCTATACACATGGACTCATGTAGAGATGATGTATGTATAATTTGTCAGTAAGTTGTTGGACTAATACGGTTCCCTCTGGTTTTTTTAAGACTAGCTGGCAGTATTTATCTCTCCTCTCTCTGTCACTGCTTAACCCTTCTGCCATGGTTTCCCCATTTCTCCCTTGATAATACCTGTCTCCTGTGGTCCCACCTCTTCTTGAACACCTTTCCCTTTATCCCCAACGTTCTTTGTATGACCCTCCCTTCCTCCTCCCATTTAAATAACCCCATTTTTATCCATTTCTCCTTACTAACACCTTTTCCCTACTGTTTTTCTCTCTAAGGTTCTTTCTTTCCTTTACCTCCCTGATTCCTTTTCATTATTCTGGTTCCTGTAGTTATATCTGGATACATACTCACATAAAAGGATTTCGTGCTAGGATCAACATATGAGGGAGAACATATGTCATTTCTTTTTCTGAGTCTGTGTTACTTCACTTTGTATAACAATTCCAAGTTCCATCCATTTACCTGCAAATTTCATGATTTTGTCTTTTCTTTACTGCTGAGTAGAATTCCATTGTGTAAATGCACCACATTTTCATTATCCACTCGTCAGTTGAGGGATACTTAGGTTGTTTCCATCTCAGCTATTGTGAAAAGAGAAGCAACAAACATGGATGTACAAGTGTCTGTGCGATAGGATGGAATTCTTTGGGTATATGCCAAGGAGTGGTATAACTGGGTCAAATGGCAGGTTCATTTGTAGTTTTTTAAGAGTTCTCCACACTGCTTTCCATAGTGGTTGAACCAGTTTGCAGCCCCACCAGCAGTGGATGAGTGTTCCCCTTTCCCCACATCCTCTCCAATATTTGGTATCATTTGTTCTCTTGATCTTAGCCAGTCTGACTGGGGTAAGATGAAATCTTAAAATGGTTTTAATTTCCATTTCCCTAACTACTAATGATGTTGAACACCTTTTAAGATCCTTCTTAGATATCTTTATTTCTTCTTTTGAGAACTCTCTGTTTGGATCCTTATCCCATCTTTTTAACTGGATTACTTGCTTTCTTGATGCTTTGTTTTTTGAGTTCTTTATATATTCTGGATGTTAAATCTCTGTCAGATGTGTCACTGGTGAACATTTTCTCCCATTCTGTAGGTTTTCTCTTCCTTTGTTGCTTCTTTTGTTGTACAGAAACTTTTTAGTTTAATGAGGTCCCTTTTGTTGATTATTGACCTTATTTCCTGATCAATTGATGTCCAGTTTACAAAATCCTTTCCTACACCTATATCTTGTAGGTTATTGCCAGTGTTTTAACAGTTTCAGAGTTTCAGGTTTCACATTGAGGTCTTTGATTCATTCACAGTTGACTTTTGTGCAAGGTGAAAGATAGGGGCCTAGTTTCATTCTTCTACAGGTAGAGATCCCATTTTACCAGCACCATTTGCTGATTATGCTGTCTTTCTTCCAGTGAATGTCCTTGGCCCCTTTGTCAAATATCATGTGGCTGAAATTGCGTGCACTCATATTTGGGTCAGTTTTGTTCCATTGATCTACGGGTCTATTTTTGTGCCGGTACTATGTTGTTTTTATGTCTATAATGCAGGCAATACATGTTGTGTACGCATATAATAAAAAATAATAATGTTTTAAAAATTAAAAAGAAGAAGAAAGAGCAGGGCGTGCTGGCACGCATCTGTGATCCCTAGCATTCGGGAGGCAGAGGCAGGCAGATCTCTGGGAGTTCAAGACTAGCCTGGTCTACGTATCAAGTTCTAGGACAGCTGGGGCTATAGGGAGACCCTGTCTCAAAAAAGACCAAAATAATAATAATAATAATAATAATAATAATAATAATAATTGTCAAGATGTACATAAGCAAAATCCCCTGCCCATTGTCTGTTCCTTTCTCTTTTTCTCTCAATAATAACATCGAAGGCAGTATATGTCCTTCCAGTGTTTGCTTTTTCTTTTTTTTAACATTTAAAAAAATATTTTATTTTATTATTTTTAAGGGAGTGTTTCCATGTGCTTTCTCTGATTGCTTATTATTGGTATGTAGAAGGGCTACAGACTTTTGTAGATTAATTTTGTAACCTGCCACTTTACCAAAAGTGTTAATCATTTCTGGGAGTTTTCTGGTGGAATTTTTGGTATCTCTTAGATGTAATATATTGTCTGCGGCAAGTAAGGATAATTTAATCTCTTCTTTTCCAATTATTACTCCTTTAACTTCCTACTCTTGTCTTATTGCTCTTGCAAGAGTTTCAAGCACTATGTTAAAGAGAAGTGGAGATAGTGGACAGCCTTTCTGGTTCTTGATTCCAATGGGAATGCTTCCAGTTTTTCTCCATTTAGAATGATGTTGGCTTTGGCTGTGGGTTTGTTGTATATAGCTTTAATTATGTTGAGGTATGTTCCCTCCAGTCCAATACCCTCTAGGACTTTGAACATAAATGCTTGTTGAATTTTGTCAAAGGCTTTCTCTGCATCTATTGTGATAACCATGTGGTTTTTATCTTTGAGTCCATTTGTATGATTTATGATGTTTATTGACTTACGTATATTGAGCCATCCGTGCATCTCTGGAATAAAGCCGACTTGATCATGGCGAATGATCTTTTTGATGTGTGTATGTGGTTTGCAAGTGTTTTGTTGGAAATTTTTGCATCTATGTTCATTAAGGATATGAGTCTATAGTTTTCTTTTTTGGTTGTATCTTTACGTGGTTTTGGTATTGGAGTGATGATGGAGTCATAGAAGGAATTTGGAAGTTCTCCATCTGTTTCTATCTTTTTGGATAAATTAAGTAGTATTGCATAGATCTTCTTTAAATGTCTGGTAGAATTCTACTGTAAATCCATCTGGGCCTGGGCTTTAGTCGGGAGGTTTTGTATTACTGTTTCAGTTTTCTTATGTGTTTTAGGTCTGTTTAAGTTGTTGATTTCTTCTTGGTTTAGTTTTGGTGATTGACATGATTCTTAGATACACATTCATTTCTTTTAGGTTTTCAAATTTAGTAGTGTATAGGTTTTTAAAGTATTCCCTTGTAATGTTCTGGATCTTTTTAGTGTCTGTTGTGATGTTTCCCCTTTCATCTCTGATTTTGTTGAGTTGGAGGTGCTTTTTCTTTCTTTTGGTTAACTGGGCTAAGGGTCTGTCAATTTTGTTTATCTTTTCAAAGAACAGCTCTTAGATTCCTTGATTCTTTGTATTTTCTTTGTTTCTATTTCATTAATTTCCTCTCTGATTTTTGTTATTTCTTGTCTGCTGGGTTTGGGTTTCATTTGTTGTTGCCTTTCAATTGTCTTGAGTTGCAATGTTAAGTCATTTGTGTTGTTTTTGATTTTTTAACGTAGGCACTTAGAGCTATAAACTTCCCTCTAAGGACTGCTTTCAGTGTGTCCTAGAGGTTTTGTTGTGTTGTATTATTCTTTTCATTTAGTTCCAGGAATACTTTTGTTTCTTTTTTAATTTCTCCTTTGACCCGTACATCATTCAGTAGCGTGTTGTTTAATCTCCATGTGTTCATGTGGTGACTAGGGCTTCTTCCAGTGTTTGTTGAGGCTTGTTTGGCACCCCAGTATGTGGTAAGTTTTGGAGAAATCACTGAATGGAAAGTATAGTCTTGGTGTTTGGGTGGAATATTCAGTAGATGTCTGTTAGGTCCATTTAATATATGGCATTGTTTAATTCAGATGTCTCTCTTTTTATTATTTGTCCTGTTGACCTATCTAATGAAGACAGTGGGGTGTTGAAGTCCCCTACTATTAATGAATTGGGATTAATCTGGGTCTTAAAGTCCTGTAGTACTGTTTTTATGAAGTTGGGTACACCAGAGTTTGGTGAATATATGTTCATGATTGTAATATCTTCTTGGTCATTTGTTCCTTTGATCAGAATGGAGTGGCCCTCTTTATCTCTTCTGATTAGTTTTATTTTGAAGTCTGTTTTGTCAGATATTAGAATTGCAACTCCTGCTTTTTTTGTAGTATCATTTGCTTGGAATATTTTTTTTTCCATCCTTTCACCTTAAAGTAGTGCCTGTCCTTGAAAGTGAAATGAGTTTCTTGCAGACAACAAAAAGATGGGTTTTGTTTCTTAACCCATTCAGCTAGCCTGTGTCTTTTGCCTGGGGAGTTCAGTCCTTTGATACTTAAAGTTATTAATGAATTACATGTATTGATTTCTGTCATTTTGATTTCTTTTTGCATTCGTGGTCTAATTGTTCATTTCCACAGTTAATACCTTCATTTAGTTTCTTTCTGTTACCCCTTGGGTATAGTCATTCCTTTCTTCAGCTCTTTGTATTGCTTCAAGATTTCTCTGAAGGGCTAGCTTTGTGGACATGAATTCTTTCAGTCTATTTATGTCATGGAAGGTTTTTCTTTCCCTTTCAAAATAGACATTTTGACTGGATGAAGTATTTTGGGTTGGCATCTGTGGTCATTTAGAACTGGGAATACATTGGTCCAGGCTCTTCTGGCTTTCATCATTTGCACTGAAAAGTCAGCTGTAATTCTGACAGGATTTTCTTTTTTTATTTGTGACTTATTGTTTTTCTTTTGCAGCTTTCAGTATTCTCTTTGATCTGTACGTTTAGTGTTTTTACTATGATGTGCCATGGAGAATGAGTGCTTCACTTCCTTCTTCATTTCAGCCTGAGTATTCATCAATATTTCTAACTCTGTTCTGAATTCACTCAGAAGTTTATCCCTATCTTCTTTTAGTTCTTTGATTTGTGTGTTCTTTAAATACATTGAATTCTTTTATCAAGTCAGATAAGAATCAGATGTGCTCAGGCTTCATCCTAAGGCTGGATCCCTCTAGTCTGCAGGAACAGTACAATTTGGGAGGCTTACAGGGAAGGATACTCAGGAATCCCAGGCTGGTTGTGGGTGAGACAGCCAGGCATGAAGGCTGATCTCTGATGTACAAAGGCAGTTAGTTGGGGGCATGGGCTTTGAGGGCCCTAAGGGACTAGACTGAAGAATTGGGTTGGTCTGGGTGCAAAGGATCAGGAAGCAGTTAGGAATATAGGCCAAGAGGGTAGTCCAAAGGTCAAGGTGCCAAGAGTAGAAGTGGGCCAGTGCCCATGCTAGAAGGAGAAACAGGATGTAGGAGCTGGGAGGAATTGGGTTGTGGGAGTCAAGGTTCAGAGGGCGGGATCAAACTTACCAGGGAAGGATGCTGACCTCAGGAATCCCAGGCAGGTTGAGGGTGGGACAGCCAGAGAAGAAGGCTGGTCTCACATATGCAAAGGCAACTTGAGGGAGGGGGGTAGGCTTTGAGGGCTCCAGGGGACCAGACTGAAGAACTGGGTTGGTCTGGGTGCAAAGGATCAGGAAGCAGTGGGGGAGCTGGGCCAAGAGGGTGGTCCAAAGTCTGGGATGCCAAGAGAAGAAGTGGACCAGTGTGCATGCTTGAAGGAGAAAGGGGATGTGGGAGTGTACTTGTTTTAAGATTAGTATTTAGATTATCTTGCTGGACTACTAAGTGCTTTTCCCTCATAATGCTTTGCCTTGTACATCTTGACATCTGTAGGCCACATTATTTATGACATTCTGTACCTGATGTAAGTGATATTAAAATACTTGGATCAAACTGGGAGGCACTTGGGTGGCAGAGACAGGCAGATCTCTGTGAGTTCAAGGCAAGACTGCTCTATATAGTAAGTTCCAAGCCAGCTGGGGATACAGGGAGACCCTGTCTCAAAAAGATTAAAAAAAAAAAAAAAATGTTTGGATCAAATCACAATATTTTCTTTCGATGAAGATACATTTACTTGAACAATTAATGAAAGTTGCTTTGCTTTCCTGAAAGCAGCTGATGATAGTAAAGTAGAAGGACTTGTGTCAACCATACATTGTAGAAATGCTTTTTCAGACTTGGAGCAATGTTATATTTTAAAGAGTTTACAAATTGATATTTAATATTATTTTGAGAGAAAATATTTGTTTTTTAATGTTAGAGTCAAACATGCTCAAGATTAAATTTTATTAGTCATTTTATTTCATTGTGCCTAAGTCCATAGTAATCTGAAAATAAATCATTTAAAGTAGGAAAAATAACATGAGAAAACAACTAAATCTCTTAGAAAGATATATTAAAGAAAAAATATCTAATAGGATATCATCAATAAGAGATACATTAGGGCCAGGGATGTGACACATACCTTTAATACCCAGTACTCAGGAGGCAGAAGTAAGTGGCTCTCTGAGTTTGAGGCCAGCCAGGCTACATGGTAAGATTTTGTCTTGGGGGGGGAGTAGAATAAAATAAATTAATTAAATTTGAAAAGGAAAAATAATTTTGATCATTACAAATCTATAATTCAGTGTTTTTTATTTTAACATCTTAGAATGTTTAAAGGCCTTAGGCTACATGGAACGTGCAGCTGAAAGCTACAGTAAAGTGGTTGATCTGGCCCCACTACATTTGGATGCAAGAATTTCACTTTCCATCCTTCAGCAGCAGTTGGGCCGTCCTGAGAAAGCTCTGGAAGCTTTGGAACCAATGTATGACCCAGATACTTTAGCACAGGATGCAAATGCTGCACAGCAGGTAGGCCACACAATATGGATGCTTTACTTGGAAGATAGTTTAGAACTTACTCCTCAGTTTATGCAGCTTTGAAACATTCTCCCCAGTTTATATAGCTAGAGCTAAAGTTTTATTTTAATGTATTAAATTTAGTGGGGTTTTTGTTTGTTTTGATGTTTGTATTTGTGTGTGTGTGTGTGTGTGTGTGTGTGTGTGTGTGTGTGTAGGCCTAAGACATCAAGGGTCTTTCCTAGATTTCTCTTCACCTTTATTTTTTTTGAGATGGGGTCTCATTGAAATTGAAGTTGATTTGGCTAGGCTGACTAGCCAATGAACTTCAGGCATCTGCATGTCTCTGTGCCTCCAACACTGGGGGTATAGGCATGTATGCCTGGCTTCTTTCCATGGGTTTTGGGGATCAGAATGCAAGTCCTTATGCTTGCAAGACATACACTTTACTGACTGAACCAATTCAATGGTTTCAAAAAATGATTTACTTCTAGCCACTTTTTATTAGTCATAAATTATACCTTCAAAAGTATTAGAGTTTAATTTTCATGACATAAAGCAAATGTTGTTAGTCTAGTTTTTTTACAAGAAAACTTTTGTGAATAAAAGAGTTTATATCTAAGGAATTTTACCACAGATCATCATGTGCTTGTTTATTTAGGAACTGAAGTTACTGCTTCATCGTTCTACTCTGTTGTTTTCACAAGGCAAAATGTATGGCTATCTGGATACTTTACTAACTATGTTGGCCATGCTTTTAAAGGTACGTAATGATTTTTCTTTATACTAGCCTTGCTGGCAGGTGGATCTCTGTGAGTTCAAGGCCAGCCTGGTCTACATAGTGAGTTCCAGGACAGCTGGGGCTACAGGGAGACCCTGTCTCAAAAAGACCAAAAAAAAAAAAAAAAAAAAATTAGAGCTACAAGCTGGGCGTGGTGGTGCACGCCTTTAATCCCAGCACTTAGGAGGCAGAGGTAGGTAGATCTTTGTGAGTTCAAGGTCAGCCTGGTCTATATAGTAAGTTCAGGTCAGCTGGGACTATAGGGAGACCCTGTCTCAAAAAGATTAAAAAAATTAGAGCTACTTTGTAATTCTTCTGTATTAAAGTCAAACATTTAAAGTGAAAGGCAGGTAAAGACAAAAGACTTAGAAATTAGTGGTATGTAACTGGAAATTCTCCTGTAGTACTGGAAATGGATTCCAGGGACTTGCACATATGAGGCATGTGCTCTGCTAGTGAGTTCAGTTGCAGCCCTAAAATGGAACTTCTGGATGGCAATACAAACTTGACTATAGAGTAAGTGAAATAAAATCTTTTTTTGATACTTAGTTTGAAATATGAGAACTATAGTATTGCCAGTTATTGGCCCTATAGACAATTGAATGTACCATAATTGTTCATTTTACAAAAACGTTGCCCCAATCTGACATCCTTTCTGAGTCTGATTTTTGCATGCATTCACTCTCCCTCTCTGTACATGTTATGAAGTTAATGTGAATTGGCTGCTTTTTTCCCTTCTAATATGTGTAGTGACTGAAATCCCTTTGATAAGAAAAAAAAATCGATTCATTCTACTGTTGGGCATTTAAAAAATATATAGTAATTTGCTGGAGGATTCCCAAACTTGTGGTATTTACGAGACATCAGTTTTCCTTTATAAATTATTGACTAAAAAGCTTATCTTTTATTCAGGTTGCTATGAATAGAGCCCAGGTTTGTTTGATATCCAGTTCCAAATCTGGAGAGAGGCACCTCTACCTTATTAAAGTATCAAGAGACAAAATATCAGACAACAATGACCAAGAGACATCAAATTATGATGCAAAAGGTAATTAATTGCTTATCTGCTTTACATAAAACTTAGCTGAGAGGCAGAGAGATGGCTCAGCAGTTAAGGGCATGTATTGCTCTTGCAGAGGACCTGAAATCAGTTCCTAGCACCCACACTGGGGAGCTCACAACCACCTATAATCCCAATGCTAGGAGATCTCATGCCCTCTTCTGGCCCCTACAAATACTGTATGCATATGCACAAACCCACACTCAGACACACGCATGGTTAAAAATTAAAATTAAAACAAATTTAGCTGAATTGAACTGAGGAAGTAATACCTGACTGTAATCTAAATGAAAAGTTTCAAATAAAATGAAATGTTTAATCTAAATCTCCCAGGTATAATAAACTCATTCAGTATCAAAAGGCTTAACTGTAAATACTTCAGGAAATTAAAGAGAAAATACCCGCTTGGGTCTGTCTCTGAAAAATATAAAGGAAAACAATTTTGATCTTTTAAGAAGAAAAAGTTTAATTTGTGATTAGATGGCAGCACAGATTTGCCCAGTTACTCAATTACATATATTTTATTCTGTTAAATTCATTTTTGACAAATGTAGTAATCATAGAAAATAAATTGTAGTAGTCGTTGAAAAGAAATTGCTGTGACCCAGTCTAAGTCATAGGACTTTAAAAGGCATCTAGTTTTAGCTTGAAAAGCATTAAGTAGGTTTGGGTTATTACTCAGAGAAAGAACATTGGAAATAAGACTCTAAACTGGACAAGTCAATCTGGCAGAAAATTACTTCATTGTTAGTTAATTCAACAAACCTTTATTAAATTGTATGATAGACATTGGAGTCCCAGGAAGAGCTGAGTTGGGAGCACTCAGTGTTTATAATGAAGCTATAAAAGCTTCAGAGCCCTGCTCTCTCTACCCTGGTTCATTGATTCTGGGTTTATTCCACCAGCTTCTTTGTGGTATGTATTTTGGACTATGTTTCTTTAAATTATTTTTCTCTATGTAAAGCCTACCTGTTCTTCTTTGTTTCAAGTCTATTGGATTTTCTTTCATTGATAAGGCTTTATTGATTTGTAAATTTCATTATAGTGGTGATCACATTACATTGACTGCATGAGCTAAGCTATGTTAATGCAATTTTGTGGTGATGGGGATTGAATCCAAGGCCTTCCAGGGCCTTGTACATGCTAGTCAGGTGTTCTACCCTGGGTTATATTTCTGTCCCACATGTGACTTGTGCTCTGACATTTTCACATAGAAATTTTCTTATGTTGCTTTATTCTCTTCATAGCTGCATTTGAAGAATGCATAATCCACTGACTAGAAATTTAATAAGTCATTTCTCATTTCTTTATTATTGGTATATAAATAATGTAGCAAGCATCTTCATGTACATAGATTTATCTATGCTTTGGTTCTTTAAGGTAGAGTGCCAGAAGAATAGTTACTGAATCAAAGATAAAATGTTTTGCTTTATTATAATTATGGTTATTATTTTATTGCAGCATTGGGGATTGAACTGAGGGCCTCACACATATTAGGCAAGCACTCTGCCACTGAGCTACATCTCCAATTCAAATCTTTTTCTCCTCTTTTTTCCCTTTTTCTTTTCTTTCTTTCCTCTTCCTTTGTTCCTTCCCTTCCTCTCTTCCTTCTTTCCCTTTTTTCTCCCCTCCCCTCCTCCTGCTTACCCCTCCTCTAAGTTGCCCTGGCTTGCCTTGAACTTGCTTTGTAGTCCAGGCTGGTCTTAAACTCTTGGCAATCCTGATTCAGCCTCCTGAGTGCTGGGATTTATAAGTGTATACCACCATGTCTGTCTTGCTATTTTTCAGTGTTATAAAAGGGAGACTTCTTGCAGAGAACGGGAGATTGTTAAAGGAAAAGAGATTTTTAAGACCGAGAAAAGACAATTGAGATTAGAAAAAGATAAAGAAAACCTAATCTCAAAAGTATAAAATTGAAGTCACTTGCCAAACAAACATTGGAAGGCCATGTACATGCAGAAATCTCTGTGATGTTGTGGGGAGGACACTTTTTCTACCTTGGAGCCACGTGCAGCAGAGACAACACTGAGAAATGCAAATGGGTTAGTTTGTAGGGAAGAGTCAGAGGGAGAATTAACTGTGATTCCTGATTGTTAAGCAGTCAGTGCAGAAGGGTGCAGTAGTGGAGTGTGCACAAGCCACGACTCAATTCTTTTTTTTAATATTTATTTTTATTTAATGCGTATGGATGTATTGCTTGCATGTAGGTAGGTGCACCCGTGTCATGCGATGCCCACGGAAGTCAGGAGAGGACATTGAATCTCCAGGAACTGGAGTTACAGACAGTTGTTAGCTGCCATGTGGGTGCTGGGAATCAAACCCGGGTCCTCTGCAAGAGCAGTCGGTGCTCTTAACCACTGAGCCATCTCTCCAGCCCCCGCCATGACTCAGTTCTTTGTCAGGAGAGTTGTTGACAGGAATTCAGTACGAAGGCTATTAAGTTTATCTTCAGTCACTATGAATTTCCTTTCTAATGTTGCAGTATCTGGAATTAATAGTGTCCTGATTGGTTTTCATTTGTCTCATTTTAGCAATATTTGCTGTACTCACAAGTGTACTGCCAAAAGAGGACTGGTGGAACCTTCTCTTGAAGGCCATATACACCTTGAGTGACCTGTCCCGATTTCAAGAGGCTGAATTACTTGTAGATTCTTCATTGGAGTATTATTCATTTTATGATGACAGACAAAAACGCAAAGAACTAGAATACTTTGGCCTATCTGCTGCAATTCTGGACAAAAATTTCAGAAAGGCATATGACTACATCAGGTGACTTTCTGATCATATTTTAATTAGATTCTTTGATAGCTTTTGTATGCACTTACTTAGGCTCTCATCCTCAAGAATCAGTACACTTATTTATTTTTATTTTTTTGGTATTTTTGAGACAGGGTCTCCCTGTAGCCCCCACTGGCCTGAAGCTTGCTATGTAGACCAGGGTAGCCTTGAACTTACAGAGATCCGCCTGCCTCTGCCTCTGCCTCCCAAGTGCTGGGATTAAAGGCCTGCACCACCACACCTGGCTCACTGTTATTTTTAGTGGTCCTACTACTTGCTCAGTTCACTGCTGATTCTCAGAGGTGTTAAGGGATGGACTCTAGAGCTTGACTTTTCAGGTTCAGTTCCCCACCCTGACCCTTCCTCGTTATGTGACTTTAGGCTAGTTACTTAACCTCTTCCTTCAGTATCCCATTTATAAAGGACATCATATTGTCATTAGGGTTTAATGAGCCTTTTAACAGTGCTTGGCACACTGTTACTCGTTGCTTATTCTGCAGGTGTAGTAGACTGGGAGGCAGGTGAAACAAGCCATCTGATGCTGTTTTGGTTTAAAAGGATTTTTTTTTATTTTAAACTCAGGAACAAGATATAGAAATACTAACCAACATTTTCTGGGAAAAAAGCTTTCATATTTAAGAGGTTGTTCTTGAAAAGATCAAAGCAGTGTCTTTTCCTTGTTGGGGGATGGTTGCTTTCAGTGTTAGAAGGGTAGCACTAAAAGGTGTCATTATTAGAAATGAGGAAGTTATTGCTTGCATTATTTCCCTCTCACCCACTTTCTCCAATTTTAGGGTAATGGTAATGGAAAATGTCAATAAGCCCCAGCTGTGGAATATTTTCAATCAAGTTACCATGCACTCCCAAGAAGTTCGGCATCATCGCTTCTGTCTCCGTCTGATGCTGAAAAACCCAGATAATCATGCTTTATGTGTTTTAAATGGGCACAATGCATTTGTATCTGGTAGCTTCAAGCATGCGCTTGGTAAGTGTGCTGGCATGCCTGTTGGGTGGTTAGTGGTCCAGGACTTGGCTCCTGCTCTGAAGCAGAACTGCCTGGGGTTCAATAGCATCTTTCCCATTGCATGTTACTCTGTCTTTCTCTGCTCAGTTTATTTCAAACAGAGCTAATGTGAACCTGTTGTAGATTGTTTTGAATATTGAATGAGTTAATATAAAGTAATATTTAAAGCAATGCTATATATAAGAGGCTCTAAGTATTAATAATAATGGTAGGAATACTGTTAGCATTTACTGTTTGGGTTTTCTTTGTTTTGCTTTTTTGTCTTTTTTTGAGACACTGTCTCCCTGTAGCCCCAGCTGTCCTGGAAAGCACTACGCAGACCAGACTGGCCTCAAATTTAGAAAGATCCCCCTGCCTCTGCCTCCCAAGTGCTGGAATTAAAGGCGTGTGCTATCACGCCTGGCTTACTGTTTGGTTTTAAAGGGAAGTAGGTCTTAGGGTCAGCAGTTCTCCCTGCTCAGGCTAGGGTTTTTTATAAAATAATTTAAGATTTGCTGACTGTGAGGGAAGTCAGACCAAGATTTACCTACATGATACTTATAAAATCTAATTAAAAGAAAATATATCAATCATTTATAACAACAAATTTCCAGACTAAGGAATCAAAAGCAAACAAGAAGGAAAATACCTAACAAAATTTTTTAAATTAGGTAACATCTGCACACTAGAAAGCTAGGTTCTCTGTTGGATAAACTGATTGGGCTGTTTAAGACTCCCATGTTTCTGCATATGTAGCCCATAATTTTGCTTAGTCAGTAACCTCAGACATCAGATGTTAAGTTTACCTGTGCAGGCTTTTTTGGAAGTGTTAGTTTAATAGTTAGAAAATATGAAATTAACCCCCCCACCCCCCATTGAGTACTTTCATAAAAAATAACAGAAGACTGTCCAGATGGTAAGCTACTGCTGTCTTCTGGTAAAGAAACCCGGTGGTGTCACAGAACCTGGATAGAAACTGAAGAAATGCATGTTTTTAATATATATGTATATATGACTAATTACAGATTGTTCCTTTATATAAATTTTACTTAAACTCTCCTTCATTTGATTGGTGTTTGGTTTGAGATAATTAGTGCATGTGTGTGTGTATGTGATAGAATTCAAATTTTTACATATTTAGATTTTCTCATGAAATAGTTGCTAAATTTGAGAAAATACCCATAATTTGAAAAACAAAGCAGTGTTCCCTTTTCTCATCTGCTTGATTCATCACATTTGAATTTGTAAAACAGACCAATTAACTTTTTAGAAGATTTTATAAAATTGTGGGTACATGTTGTGTGTCCTGTGATGTGCCTGTGCATGCGGGTGCCTGCAGAGGCCAGAGGTGTCAGATCCCCTGGAGCTGAAGTTATAGGCAGTTGTGAGCCTCTTCTTCATGGGCGCTGGGAACCAAACTTGGGTCCTCTGAAAGTGCATGGCTCAGCCATGTTCTTAACTGCTGACCCATTTCTCTAAGCCCAGGCCAATTTTACAAAAAATTTCATCAAAGGGCACCTACATATACATGAACACATATGTATACCACACACAAACACAAATTCTCCCTTCACTTCTAAAATAGATTATGATCATATTGAAGTATTCTATATAGAAATGTCTTTGCCTAAAAGTTACTTTTGCTATTTATGATGAAGACACATGTATGAAGACACTTCAAATTGTATATTGTATAATGCTGCATAGTTAAAAATTAATGTGTATCTGATATTTAAGATAATATAGTCTCTGTATATCGGTAGTAGTATTTGGCTTTAAAACATATTTGAATAAGTGATGAAGAAATAAGGAACTCTGTTCTTACCCACTGTCCAACCCTGTTCATTTTCCAGGACAGTATGTGCAAGCCTTTCGTGCCTGTCCCAACGAACCTCTCTATAACCTCTGTATAGGCCTGACCTTTATTCACATGGCATCTCAGAAGTATGTATTAAAGAGACATGCTCTTACTGTGCAGGTAATTCATTTGCATTCTACTTGCCTTTTTTTTTTCTTTGAAAATGAATATATGTAATACCTTTTTACGAGCTCTATTTCAAAAGTAATGCCTGCTTGGTAAACATGTTGCAAATACTCAGCACTTACTTGTAACTGTGTTGAGCATTCATGGGACTCAGCATAATATTATATTTAAAATTAAGACTTACTTACAGCAGTATAGTAAGGGTACTCAGCCAGATCATAGGATAAAGACATGGAGAATCTACCAGATTTTACATGTAGGTTCCTTTAAACTCTCGAGCCCTGAGGGCTCTAGCTACCTTAGGCCATAAAGATTAAAGTGTGTGTGTGTGTGTGTGTGTGTGTGTGTGTGTGTGTGTGTGTGTGTATGTGTGGTATGTATGCATGCATGTTCACATGTGTGGGTACATGTGTATATGAGTACTTGTGTAGAGCCCAGACTTTATAGGTGTTTTCCTGAATCAGTCTCCAGTCTCCATCTTAATATATTGAGGCAGGGTTTCTTACTTGAACCCAGAGTTTTCTAATTCAGCCAATCTAGCCAGCCAACTTGCTTTAAGAATTCTGCCTCTACTTCCTGCACACTGGGATTACTGATGGGCAGCTGTGACCACCCAGCATTTATGTAGGTGCTGGGAATCCAACCTCTGGTTGTCATGCTTGTGTGGTAAGCACTTTACCCACCCAGCCACCTCCCTAGTGTCTAAATAAACTTTTTTTAATGTATTTAATGTGTATATATAATGTATGATGAGTATTATTAACAAATTATTCTTTAAAAAATTTCAGGGGGTGCTAGGCATTGTGAGATTGAGGCCAGCCTGGTGTACATAGTACATTCTAAGTCAGCCAGGGAGACCTTGTCTCAAAACAAAACACAAAAACAAAAACAAAACGAGGGGGAGGGGTAATCCAGGTTGTTTTCTGTTGCTGTGATAAAATACCCTGACAAAAGCAATTTAGGGGAGAAAGGGTTTATTCAGCTTATAATTCCAGGTTAAAGTCCTATCATAGCAGGTAAGTTACAGCAGCAAGAGCTTGAGAGAGCTGGTCATATCACATTATCAGTTGGAAGAAAAGAGCAGTGCATGCATGCATGCTTGCACCGAGCTCACTTTCTCCACTCCTGCACACTTCAAGATCCTCTGCTTAGGGAATGGTGCCACCCACAGTGGTCTTCCCACCTCACTATCATCAAGATCATCCCCGACTAGCATGCCATAGGCGAGGCTAATCTAGACAGTCCCTCATTGAGATGTTCTTCTCAGATGACTCTAGATTATGTCAAGTTGACAGTTAAAACTAACCATTACAGGGGATAGCCCAGAAATATAGTTCAGTGGTAGAATATTTGTGTAACATATACAATGTCCTGTGTTCAATGTTCAGCACCAAAAATAAGGAAAAAGTTAAATTTCCTCTTAGTTCTTACAGTTGAAATTTATGTTCCTAAATAATTTAAAATTTATTTTTATTTTATGTTTATGAATGTTTAGTCTGCACATGTGTAAATGCACCATGTTGTGTAATGCCTGTGGAAGCCACAAGATGGCATCGGATCACCTGGAACTGGAGTTAGAGACAGTTGTTAGTCACCATGTGGGTGCTGGGAACCAAACCCAGATCCTCTGCCAAAGCAGCCAGTGTTTTTAACCACTGAGCCATCTCCTAGCCCCTAAAATTATGTTTTTAAAATAGCTTATTTACTCTAATATGAATATAAGGTCAGCCAGAATTGTAATCCCAGTATTCAGAAGGTAATAGGAGAATCTCAAGTTCAAGGCTTATCTGGGCTGCATAGTGGACTCTAAAACAAACAAAAAACAAACAAAAAATGATATAAACTCAAAGAGATCAGAGAACTTGTTGATAATGTTCACTACTACATCTTCAACACTTTTATGATTTATTTGTTTGATGTTTTCAGAGTATGACATAACATAGACCACCTTCTTCTTCAGTATGTTGCACAGACTGGCTCAGCAATTTTTGAAAATACTGAATTATCCTCTTTCCCATAGGGCTTTTCCTTCCTTAATCGATACCTCAGCATACGTGGACCTTGCCAGGAATCATTCTACAATTTGGGACGTGGCCTTCATCAATTGGGGCTGACTCATCTTGCAATCCATTATTACCAGAAGGCTCTGGCGCTCCCTCCACTTGTGGTAGAGGTATAACTTGCTCTGGAAACCAAGGAGTCTCTATCTGTTGATAAGTGCATTCATCTATGTATTGTGGTTCACACAGTGAGATAAATCATAGTTCATAAAGTAAATTTTAGTTTTTGAACAAGGCATAGTGATAAATGCCAATAATCTCAGCACTTGGAAAACCAAGGCAGATCTCAAGTTCAAGGCCAGTTTGGGCTGTATAGTAAGACCCTGTCTCCACAAAGGGAAAAAGAAATATTCTTCTCTGGTGCAATATTTATATAATTAGGCTCAGCAACAGGAAAGTCTTTGACATCCTATTATGACCTGATCAACACCATGTGAACATGTACAAGTGCATTAGAACACAGAAGTTATGTCTTCATAATTGGACTTAATGTCCATTGATAACTTTTCCATGTCCATCCCTCCCTCTCATTCTCCCCAACCTTTGGCAACCTGTGTTCTTTTATGGGATCAGTTCTTTAGATTCCACATTTTGGATTACAGTGATATATGGTGTTTGTCTTTTTGTTAAAGACTTCTAGTTCCATCTATGTTTCAAATGGCAGGATTATGTTGGTTTTCATTTTCTTTATTCATCAGTTGATGGACACCTAACATTATTCCTTGGCTGTAGCTGAATAGTGAACATGGGACTGCAGGTGTGTGTTTAACGTACTAACTTAACTTCCTTTGGACACATACCTAGTAGTGGTTGTGTTGATCCTTTTTTAATTTTTTATTTTATATGATTAGTGTTTTACCTGTATGTATGTAAGTGCACCACATATGCGCCTGGTGCCCAAGGAGGCCAGAAGAGGGCATTAGATCCCCTGAAACTGTAGTTACAGATGTTGTAAGCTGCCATGTGGGTTCTGGGAACCAAACTTGGGTCCATTGCAAGAGCAGCAAGTGCTCTTTTATTTTTTTATTTAAAATCCATTTTTATTTCATGTATATAAGTGTTTTGCCTACATGTAGATGCACCCATGAGTGCAATGACCATAGAGGCCAGAAGAAGGTGTTGAATCTCCTGGAACTGGAGTTACTATGTGGATGCTGGGAACTGAACCCAGGTCCTTGCAGCCAATACTCTTAACCACTGAGCCATCGCTCCAGCTTCCTGTGTATGTTCTTAGGTGAATTTCCAGTAAGCAGCATATAGATGGGGTTTACTATAATTCATTCAGTCACTTCGTGTTTTTTAATTGGTTTCATTCATTTATTTTTTTCCCATTTACATGTGGTAGGCTATGCTTATTTAGAGTCATAGGCAGATGACAGACTTTGTGGCACAAGAACACAAACAATTTCTCTTGTACTTCATTCTAGGCTTAGGGTTGAGACTCAGACTGGCAGGATACTACTTCAGACCCATTCAGAAGTTTACAAGTTCCTCACTGAGGACAGATGTGTGAGATTGGCTAGATGTGTGAGATTAACTAATCAGCAGGTCACTGATGTTGCTCCTGGGCATGGTCTTGATCATCAGAAACTATTTTGGATACTTGGTTACCCAGCATCAAGAAATGGCCCACAGTGTTGTCAGCTGACAGTGTTGTGGTTTGGCATCATTATCATTCTGGGGGTATTGTTGGGTTCCTTTTCACAGTTAAAGAATTAAAGGGCAGGAAAGATCTCAGAACAAAGAGCAACAAACTTTTTACTAAAAGAATCAGTTTTAGAGATTCTCCTGTCTCCATCTCCCATTTCCCATAGTGGGCCGGGAATTACTCATTGGGCAATTAGCTAGGTCCTGAGAATCTGAACTCAGGTTATCAGGCTTGCATAGCAAATGCCTTTTCCCTCTGTGCTGTCTCCTCAACTCTACAAAAAAACTTTTGATAAGTTAATTATGAAATAATAGTAACCCAGCATTGATTGTCAAGGTAAATGAAAACTACTACTGCTGCTGCTACATAGAACTGTCCATTTTTGTCCATTCTCCTTTTCTCCATTCTCCTTTTCATATTGCTGATCTTTTAGCATACTAATTTTAATTGTTTTCGTTTTAGTCTTCATACTTTATGTTTTACTAAGCACCATGTGTATAGTATTAGAGCATCGTAAGTTTGATAGTTACCTTTGCCAGTGAGTTTTATAATCCCTCCCCCTTTATTTGTATCTTTTGAAGAATTCGCTAGCCTTTTTAAAAATTTTGTGTGCAGAGGAGTAGAGGCTGTGGGCATGTGAGTGTAGTTGCCTGTGGAGGCCAAAAGTGTTGGATCTCCTGGAGCTGGGGTTAAAAGAGGTTGTAAACTGTCCAATGTAGATGCTGGGAGTCAAATCCGGTCCTCTGCAAGAGCACTATGTGATCTTAACCAGAACCATCTCTCCAGCCCACCTTAGTGTTTTTTATAGGACAAGACTAGTGGGAAAAAAAATGTAGCTTTTGTTTGGTAATGTTTTTAATCTCCATTTTTGAAGGATTGCTTTAAGCACATGTTCTTGCTTGGCAGTTTTCTTCCCTCCAGTACTATCAATATCAAGCTATACTCCCTCCCTCCTGGTCTGTAAAGAAGTCAAATTGGAGAACCTCCATGTGTTGTTTCCTTTTCTCTTGCTCCTTTGAGACTTTCTAACCTTTGAGAACCCATTATATCAGGTAACCATGGTTTAGTTGAATCTGGCTGGTAGTCTTTGACCATCCTTGTACCTGGATAGTTGTATTGTCTTCTAGGTTGGGAAGTTTTCTCATTATTTCTACACTTTTAGCATTTGTGTATTTGCGTGTGTATGTATGTGAATTTGCCACAGCATGTGCATGGAGGTCAGGACAACTTCAGGTCAGTTCTCTCCTTTCACCACGTTGGTCTCAAGGATGAGTCAAGGCAGTCTTGGTGCAAAGTGCCTTAAGCGGCTGAACCATCCATCCCATCAGCCTCATTAATGCTTTCTATCATGGTTTCTTTTCATTTTGTATTACTTTTTCAGCTGTAGGATTTTATTTTTAAAATTACCTCCATCACTGTTAAGTGATGAAGTGCGGAATTGTTTCTGTGGGTTTTCTTGAAGTTTATTGAATTTCCTTAAATTCTCTGAATCATATGGATTGCTTTTTGGCCAATTTCTGGCACTTCCTTGAGTATTCTTTTGTGTGTGTACACAGTGTATGGGTACATATGCAGGACATCAGGTGTCTTCCTCAATCACCCTCCACCTTACTTTTTGAGGCAGGTTCTCAAAGTAACCTGCACTTTATGATTTGACTATGCTGGCTGGCCACCAAGCCCCAGGGATCACCCTGACTCCCTAGTGCTAGAATTATAGGTGTGTATCATAATACCTGGGTTATGTTTTTTTGAGACAAAGTCATACTGTGTAGTCCTGGAACTCACTGTGCAGACCAGATTGGCCTTGAACTCACAGAGCTCCACCTACCTCTAGAGTGCTGGGATTAAAAGAATGTGCCACCATGGCCAAATGCCTGGCTTTTTAAGTGGGTGTTGGGAATCAAAGTCAGGTCCTAATGCTTGCATAGCAAGCACTTTATTGACTGAGCTGTCCCTCCAGTCTCCCTTTTAAAAACTAATCCCTTAGGATGGGTGTGGTGGCATACACCTTTAGTTCCAGCACCCTGGAGGCAGAGGCAGGAGGATCTCTGAGATGGAGGCCTGTCTTGTTGTAGTAAGTTCCAGGCCTGCTGGGAAACCCTGTCTCAAAGCAAACAAAAACCTAATTCTTTGATTCATCTGAAGTCAATTCTGCTGTGGTTGGTTGGTGAAACTTTTCTGTAACATACTGATTAGACATTTGAGGAAACTTTTTTATGATTAATTGAATCAGCATAGGTCCAAAATACAATTGTTTTAGTATTATGTGAAATTTAATCACTTTGGAGAATTACAACTGCTTGTCATCAAATTGACTTGGTTGACAGTTGGAAATATAAAAGCATTCCTTTTTTTTTCCTTTTAGGGCATAGAAGTTGACCAGCTAGACCTACGAAGAGATATTGCCTACAACATGTGTCTCATTTATCAGAGTAGCGGGAATACTGCAATGGCGCAAAAGCTTTTGTACACCTACTGTGTTATATGAAACTCCTCAGCTGAGAAAGGTGCCTAGACAGCTCGTGGTGGACCGGTATCTTCTGCTGAGAGTTTATTATTATTAATACATGAGTCCTTTGGTAGTGTATCATTGCCAGCCCAGCTCCCCTTACAATGGCAGCTTTGAAGTTGGGGATGTGGTCAGTGGTACAGTGCTTCCTTAGCATGCACAACCTTCAATTCAATACATAGCACTGCAGAAAGCCAGAACTACTGTTTGTATCTTTTGGTGTATGTGCAAAATGACTATTCCTATGAGAATTGACATACATTCTGTCATTTTCCTTTAGTGTTCTATAGTAAAATTATTCCAATGCCAAAGTGGACAATATCCGCTTCTGAGTCAGCATGGAATGGAACATATTTTTCCATTTAATACTATATATTAAGTACCCATGTACGAGGTATTTTGGATAGGTGCTGGGACTATTGTATGATGGATATGCTTGCCCTTGTGACATTTAAAGAGTACATTACTGACTGCTGAGATAATCACTACTGAGTACAGGTCTTTATGTATTTATTTCTTGTGCTGTGAATTGAACCTAGGGCCTTATACCATACTGGGCATATGCTTTGCCAGTGAGCTACAGCCCCAGCCTTACAGTTCTTTAAATACAAAGCATGAGCATGTATTTCTTTGAAAGTGTTTGTTACACTTCTGTATACAGCCTCAGTGTTGTCCATTCATTTCTTAGAGCTCTGTTACTACTACATGAGGCAATTTTTCAAATATAGAGCTTAGGAGGGTACTTATTAAAGGATAGACAAATTTGGGCTTTTATGTTAAGACAATTGCTTAAAATTAGTACCAAATAAAATTATTTAAAATGATTATTTGGTGGGAAAACAAATAGTTGATGTAATATTTCATTTTTCATTTATAAGTGTCATACAGATGGTAAGACTGGGAACTGGGCATAATTTACAGCAAAAAGACTGCATTAAAATGTGCAGCTTCCCAACATAAGACAGAAAATATGATGTGGTTTCCATTTTAAGGTCACTAACAATGTATGAAAGATTGGGAAGTTAGATATGGAATAAAGTGTTGGTAATAAAAGTTTTAAAAGTAAGATACTTCATTGTATATAAAAAAATCACAATTGGGGACTCTGACATCCCTATTTCAGCAGTGGACAGATCATCTAAACAAAACTAACAGACATTTTCTAGCAGTACCATTGGTTCAATGGTTTGTTTTTTTTTTTTTTTTTTTTTTTTAAAGTGGAAAACAAATGACATAACCAGTCCAATTGTAGGAAGGAAACAAGTGTGAGACTTAGTACCATAAAATACAGTGGAGACATTTCATGACTTCTTACCACTGTTTATACTGCATTTATAACTTTCTAGTTGAGAAGCAGAATTTGAAATAAGTAAATGTATCTTGTATTCTGAATATTACTATACATAATAAAATTTATTTTTATAGCTGAGAGGTTTTATCTTTTTGATTCCTGTGGCCCCAGCTGGCCTGGTTACTCAGATATCCATCTGCCTCTGCCTCTGCCTCTGCCTCTGCTGGGATTTAAGGCATGTGCCACCATGCCTGGCAAGTTCATATTTTTTAAAATTTTATTTCATGCCACTGACAGACGATAAAGCTCTGATTGAGTAGTACAATTTATGATTTAGACTCCTGCCTATGGATCTGAACATTCTGTATGTAGTTTCTCTTATAAACTAAGCGCTGTACAATTTCATTTATGTATATAATTCATTCTAGTCCATCCCCCCACCCCTTTTTCATCCCTATCAACCTATCCTGCTCCCTCTCTACCAGTCTCTTTCCAAAGTCATGAGTTTTGGGGTGGTTTTGTAACCAATTTAGTTTAACCAGGGCTGTTTGTGCGACCATTGGATTGAACTATTCACTGGTGCCTGGTAGCATCACTGGTGAGTATATAACTGAAGGCAGTGAGTCTTCCCTTTCCTTGAATCTATCAGTAGCAAATAGTTCAGCTCTGAGCCCTTCCTTCATCCAATGCCTGCCTGGTGAGTGGCCCATTTTTGTGTAAACCCAGTGTAGGTATACATAGCTGCTGTGATTTGGTGATTGCCGTGGTGGTGTCTTGCCCAGAAGATAGCACATTTCACGGCTCTTGTCCCTAGCTTCTCACCACTTTTTTTTTGAGACAGGGTCTCTCACTGAACCTGAAGCTCACTGGTTCAGCTAGACTGGCCAGGAAGCCCCTGGGATCCACCTTTCTCCTGCCCCCTCCCCCATGCTAGTGTTACAGATGTGCACTGCTGTTTGATTTTTATGTGGGTGCTGGGGCTCTGAACTTGGATCTTGAGGCTTGCATAACAAGCAGTTTACCCACTGAACCATTTCTTAGCTTCCCTTTTCTAATCTGGTTCTTATAGCCTGTATCCCTAATAATAATGATTCTCATTTATCAAAACCGCCATCATTAGCACTTCTGCCTCATTAACATATTTGGATGGCAACTAGCTCATACCACCTCTTCTGGAAATGGTCCCCAATAAAGGTCAAGTCCTCATAACCATTGGTGAACCTGACTCAAGCTGAGCTAGTCACATTCTCATATTGAAGGATGGCCTAAGAGATGAAGTTAAATGTCTTTGGCACTAAGTTACACTAATAGTGGCCTTGAAAGCACTGCTCCCTGCCTTCCCAAGGGAATCTTTTGTTTTTCTGTTGCTGGGGATGCAGCCAAGGGCCTCACACATGCTGAGCAAGGGCTCTGCTAACCTACTCCCAGTCCTCACATGCATTCATTTGATTCCTCAAAACTCCATTTTCTTCCAATGTAAGAAACTTGGCTGGGTTCTGCAGGAGTATCCTGGAAGGTATACAGGCACCTGTTAATGGAGACTTGGCAGAAGACCATCCCGCCCCATGGCGAAGCTGGATCAAGAGTGATGGACACTGTGAGATCTTTGAATCCTGTTCTTGCTCACTTACTTGCTGGAGTGTCCTTGACAAGACCTTGACCTTGGCTCAGAAGTAGACATGTACTACCACCCCCTCCAAGGCTCAGGGACTATTGTGGAAGAGGTTGGCAGAAAGAATGTAAGCTGGAGGAAGGGGTGGAGTGTTAACTGGAAATGTCTTCTGACCACTGTGTTGGCAAGCTATTGTCATACCTCCTTTCCACACTCATCAAGGGGTGGGGGGGTAGTCAGTTACCCCTCCCACCCAATCAGTCGACCTTAGCTGCGTGGGGGGGTATATATATATATATATATGCTGAGAAAACGAAGAGGCACCTCACCATTTCATGTGGCTGTTGGAAGGTCTCAGGATCTGTATTTGAGTGTGGAATTTACAATGCAGCCATAAATATGCGGCACCACTCTTCTGTAAATAAATTCCTACCCTATACACTGTTAAAATAATAATAGGCCGGGCGTAGTGGTGCATGCCTGTAGTCCCAGCACTTGGGAGGCAGAGGCAGGTGGATCTCTGTGAGTTCAAGGCCAGCCTGGTCTACATAGTTCCAG